CCCTCGCCTCGGAACTTCAGACAGACGCCCCTCGGCAGAAGTGGATGGCCCACTGGCAGAGGAACAAGAAGGGAGGCTGTCCCCCAGCTCCCATCGCCATCATTTTCCCGCTTGACTGTCACGCCTTCACTCTCACAGACATACTGACTCTGCACACCGGCTTGATCCTGAGTTTGACTTGAGTGGGGGATTCTCTCATTCGACATCCTCTACACACCACCTAAAAGGAAAAAAAACTTTTCAAGATGCCCTTTGGGTATACAGAATGGATATTTATATAGTTTTTTAAATACTTCAAAGCAGACCGATTTCTCAAAAGATCAAGAAATTATTCTCCAATTACATACACTCAAGCTTCCAAGTATTATTTTTCTTAAAATGGCAAAAGCTGTATCTTCTTGAGTTCTTGACAATAAATAAGAAAAATTAAGAACAACAACAGAAAAAAAAATCAGAAGAAGAAATGTTGATGATGCAGTATCATCAACAAAGGACACTGCGGGAGCCAGCTAAGAAAGCTGGCAGCCAGAAGCCAAAAGTGATGCCCGCAGAATCGTCTCCATCCAAATCAACTGAAGTCATTTCACGCTGCTTTCTAACCTAGCCTCTTCACTGCATTACAGCACAAATGACCTACATTTAGCGGCACGATCAATGGTAACATATAGATTTAGTGATAGAAGGAAAGAGATTCTGTACAATCTAAGACTAGAAACTTTCAGGGGGAATATTTACTCCAACAAATAGAAACTCTGAATTGGAGATAATAAATAGCACCACTCAAATCAGATTCTGAGGAAGATTCATTAAAGCATTCTCAAAAATAACTCCATTTCAACGCATGATATAATCTCTCGCCATCAAGCTGGAAAAAAACATAAAGACTGACAATATCCAGTGTAGGCAAGAAAGATCCACCTTCATACAATGCTGGTAGGAGTATAAATTAGTAAAATTCTTTCAGAAGGCAACTTAGCAGTATCTATCAAGATTTAAAATGCACATCACTGCATATTTATTCCAGAGAAATATTCACCTAGACACAAGGATATTTATTGTAGCATGTTTTTTAAACAGTTTTAAAAAGGCATTAAGTATTTTCAGTGGTACTGATATAAAAGCCAAGAAAAATGTAAAAGTATGAAGGCATATATCTTGAAAAAAAATGTGTACCCAAAGCTGTGTATCTGGAATGCATTCAGAATGATCTAGAGACACATATGAAATCTGCAACAACTGGGAGAGGGAAGCAGAAGGAACAGGGAAGAATGGAAAGGAACTTTCACATCTTCCTCCCAGTAATCAGAAACTCCTTGAACGAAAATGTGTTTGCTATCTTGCCTGTATAACTCCATCTAATACATTTAAATATATTACAAGAAAAGAAAAAACCAGTGACAGCCTTTCTTTCTACTTAACTATGAATAAACTAGTTTCTCTCAGCACTAAAACTTTATCTCTATGAAGTGACCCCAAGTTCCTCTAACAAGCCCCACTCATTCCTCATTAAATAAAATGATCCCAGGGGCCAAGTGCTGGGATACAAAGATGCCAGAACACAGTGTCATCCTGTCCCGATGAAGAAGTAGGTCAGTAATAACCCAGCAGGGCAGGTTGGCAGGAGAGACACAGACAGGAAGCCAGGTGAACACAGAGAAAAGGGACAGCATGTTGGGAAAGGGGTTCAAAGAACATAGATGAACTAAAGCTTTGAACATGTGACCCAGGACCTGAAACACAGGTGTTCAACACATGCGGAAAGGAATTAAGGTTCAGAGAGGAGTCTAACATAACAAGTCTGGTCTGGACAACTGAGTCACCGGTGATTTCAGTCACAAAAATATGTATCAGAAGGAAGCAGATGGGAAAGCGGGAGAGGGGCTGGTGGAGAGCTGCCAGGAACGTGTCCTGCGTGCAGTCAGAAATGCAAATCTGGGCTCTAGAGACAATCTGGACAAGATGTGGGTGCCTCGGCAGAGTAAACAGCCTCAGGGATCCCACGGCTATCATGGATACCAGAGATCCTTTCAGAGGATAAGAAGAGGCTCACATTGAGCAGGTTAAAAGTGCGCAGCAGAGTAAGAAAGTTCCTCCATTTGGGGCCCTTCTGATTATTTTCAGGAGAAAGTATCAACCTGGTGCTGTAGCATTAGCTAGTCTTCATCTGCAACAGAGAGAGCAGGATTCTGGCTCAGAGCCTTCATACTAGCTGGAATTTAACAATTCTGTTTCATTGTTCTTATTTGTCTGTACACAAGAATGTCTTTCTTGGTTACCCAAAAAAAAAAAGATATTAAATCAATCAAAAATTAAGTAATAATATTGTAGTATAATGACAAGGTTAAAATAATCATGTTCAGAGAAAACCTCTAACGATAGAAAACGAGTTACAGGGAATGGTTAGAAGTGAAAAAATAATATGGCAACTTCACACAGAAACTAGAAAGTAGATGGAAATGAGGTCACTCATCATTTCAGTAAAAGAAGTTTTAGTTGGTGGGGGAAGACATAGCTCAAGTGGTAAGGCTCATGCTTAGCATGCACAAGGTCCTGGGTTCAAACCCCAGTACTGCCTCTAAACATAAATAAATAAATAAACTTAATCACCTCCCCCAAGAAAAATTAGTAAGAAGTTTTAGTTGAGCAATGGGGATAAAAGCTGGACTGTAGTGAATTAAGAAGAGAGTAGGTGAGGACACAGAGGCCACAAATGGGTAGCCTATCCCCTGAAGGAGCTTGGCTATGAAAGGGAAATAGCTGGGATAATAATGTCACCATAGGCTTGGGGAGGCAAATTAGGTCAAGAAAACTACAGGATACAATAGCTGACGGGGAACGGGCAGGTAACCTACTCAGAAAGTTGTACAAGAGAGAGCAGCAGGGAAAGATCAGGTACAGACGTAAACAGAAGGCACAGAACATCTTTCTCTGACTCCAGCAGAAGGATGGCTTCTGATGTACCTAAATTTGTAAGTTCAGAGAAGAGAAGCTGGGGTGGACCATAGAGAAACTATCCCGTAAGGTAGGAAGTTCAGGTATTTCTTGAGTCAGGGGAAAAAGATGGGATGAGGGCTGGAGAAGAATAATAATCTGGAAAAAATAACCTGTAGGAGAGAAAAGGTGATGGGGAGCACTGGTGAGAGGTGTGGAGGGCCTACTTGAGGCTGGCCCCCCAAAACCATGGATTGCCAACAATCCCCAAGGCTGTACAATCTCCTCCTTCAGTAACGCGCAGTCCTGGGGAAATGACACCGATGCGGGTCTTCAGAGCAGAAGCAGCAGAAGGACAAAACGGTGTGGGGCATGGAGGTGTGGGGTGAAGATGCTGAGGAGGAGAAGAGTTCAAGTAACTGACATTGGGGTCCAAGCTGGGTAGCTTAAAAAAAAAAAAGACAGAAGGGACTGGAAGGGGGAGGGAAGGAGGGATTAAGGAAAGGAAGGAAAGAAGGGAGGGAGGGAGGAAGCCAAAAAGTCACTTGGGAAATGACTGTGGACCAACGGGCAAGTCTCCTGGGGAAAGGAGTTGAAAATCAGGAGGTTCAGAAGTGAAATAAATTATCCATTCAATAAATATTTACTAAGAATCAGTTACACCAAACAATGTACTACATTAACTAGTCTCTGTCCCCATAGAGCTTAGGCACATATTTTAGGATATGTTAATATGTATATTTATATACAAACTATACACACACAAATGTAACTGTGGTCACTGCTGTAAGAGGAAGTGCAAGACTCTTTATGACAAAGTAACAGAGGAACTTAATTGACATTGTGGAGGTAGGAGATGTGAGGTCAGGGAGGCCTCTCTGATAAAGTGGTATCTGAGCCAGTATCTGAAGGATGAACTGGAATTAACAGGCCAAAAGTGAACATTTTACAAAGAAATAGCATGTTTAATTTCTAAGGCTGGTAAAAGCTGATGAGTTTGGGAAAATGGAAGAAGGCTGGGGCATAAATGAGGAATTTTTACTTTATTTCACATGAATAATAAGAGTTAAAGGAGCTGATAATGACTCCACTTATTGTGTAAATTCTACAGAATATCTTCTAACACTCTGCAAGGCTTCATCATCTGAGAAAACAATATCTTCATTGTCCTTGAAGCACAGGGGCTTCTGTGGGATGAGCGGGATTCTGGTTTGGAGGTCTGGTTGTATACATGTATTGTTGGGTAGGAGATGGGTGTAAGTGAAGACAGAGGGGTAGGCACAGGCCAGATCACACAGGGCCTGGGAAAGCATGAACTTGGATTTTTCTCCAAGTGTAACGGAGTGACTGAAGAGTTTTTAACAGGATGACAATGGCATGATCCAACTTATATTTGTAAAAGACCATTTGGGCTACTGTATGGACAACGGATTGGAGAAAACGGTGCAACATGGACATGCTGGGAGGACACACTGGTGAAAAGTGACAGCAGCTTGGAACAGGATGACAGCGGTGAAGACGGATGCTACGTGGGAAATCCTTCTGTTGCAGCATTTTTATGCGAACTGCTCCAACCTCCTCCACATGCTCCCACCTGATTATATCAATGTCTGAAGTGCCTGAGTTGTATTTACCCCGATTCTGTCTTTCAAATGACAACTCCAGTGTCTTAATCGAGATGAAGCAGGGCCGAGCTGACCCTGCGCGCGGGGCCGGACAGAAAGCCGAAAAGTTGACGCTCAGTCACTGGATCGCCGGCCCACGGCGAAGCCAGAGGATGGGCTCCCCGGGCCCCCCAGGTGA